TTATTAAAATTGTGACTCTCTTCTATATCGGTGTTTTTGAGCGTGGATTACATACTATAGCCCCTGATATGTATGAAATATTTCACTGAGATTTCCTATCTTTCATTTCTTTCTTTCGTTTCATGCCACCCTGATGGCGTGTACAAAGATCTGCGGGTTGATTGTTGAAATGTATAGACAGAACTATAGACAAGAAAGACAAGGGGGATATGGAGGAATCCTATTGGTGTAGCAGGTGGTTGCAATGAACAAAGGCAGTAGGTAATAGACTAACTAACGGCAACCCACGAGAAACCCGACAGTTAGTCCATCATTTTCTCCCTTACTCTATAGGAACCGCACATTTCAACCAAAAGGATCGCTCCATACTCCCTATGTCCTTTCTGTCCATAGCTTTGTCTACCAATTTCAATAATCAGCCCGCAGGACAGCTTGATGAGGGCGTCAATGAGCAAATACGCCTGCCCCTACATGTTGGATTTGCCCCCCCCCTCTTCTGGCAATTTTAATAAATTATGATCGGTTCTAGGACATTTTTCTATATTTTTTTATGTACCATTATAGACGGACTAAAAATTACAACATTAGAGACGATGTGTCTTCCTTAAAATTGTCAGAACACGTTGAAAATGTTCGATCATGTTAAACTCCAAAGTCAACTAATAGATGCATGACGTATGCTTCGTTTTTGGTCATACTTTTTTCTCTCAAGTCAACTTTAAGATAATTTTGAATTGAATTTGTACGGTATTTTCTTGATGCGATTGAAAAAAAAATGTTATCAACGGTTTGATTCATTATTTGAAACTAAACGATGCGTTCCATTCTGTTTCAGGTATGCTTTGTCGCTTTCAAATGATCTCTTCCTGATATTACGTCCTTCTGTTGCGTAAGTCTTGCATGAAATAATAATCCTGCGGAAATCAGAACTGGTTTTAACCGTAATTTCGATGCAGATGTGCCTTAAATCTCAGGGAAGTGACTTTACCTTCCGGGATTTTTCCTTACCTTTTTTCAAAAATTTTTAAACCACATTTTTCTGCTACCCAAAAAAATTTTCTTCAAACTTCAGGACTCGTTCCTCAAAACTCAAACTGATTGCGGTGGACGCGCGGGTCGTAATACAGTATGTTGGAGTTTTTTGCCAACGTGCGTTAAAAATTCAGCATGAAGCTGAAAATCTCAATACATAGGTTTTCAGTTTTATGCTGAATTTTAACGCACGTTGGCAAGAAACTCCGACCTACTGACTCGTTCCTCCTTCAATTTTTGAGCTTGCAGGATCAAACTCTCTAGATTTTCTTCCTCCATGCATCTGCAAAAATTTAAGGAAACAGCCCGCGGAAGGTTCCATTCCAAAGATTCGACCACAAATGAGGAAAAAGCAGTATTGCCAACTTGGCACGTAGGAGCGATTGGCAACCAATGCACTGGAAAAAAAAAAACACATTGTATCTAGAGTCCAGACTCTTGAAAACATCGACAAGAAAAAGTACTCTTGATTCAATCAGAATCTAGCTTAAATCAAGAACCAAGCCTCTTAATTTAAGCGGATTTCGTTTTGATTCAAGCAAAAATCCGATTGAATCAAGAGTATTTTTTCTTGTCAATATTTTCAAGAGCCTAGACTCTAGATCCAATGTGTGTTTTTTCCAGTGTGGCGAAGCGTGAATAATCGATTATCGATATTTCTCCATTTGAAGCTACACTAAAGGATCGATGGTGTTCGTTGCAAGTACCCTATTTATCGATCCTTTCCCATAGGTTTAAATGGCAAGTCAATCGATATATCGCAAATCACGCGACGCCATTGTTGGCAACGGAGGTTGGCGGGAGCAGGAGCTAGGAGCGAAGATAATGATTACGTGTGCGTTCATTGGGAGTATTGTTGTTTTTACTGATGACTTGGTAAGCCTCCTCCCGCGCGCCCCGCCGCCCCCTAAATACCACCCGTCCAGGACGCTTTCCCGCTCTCCAGCCGGCCACGGGCACTTTGAGTCATCTCCCTCGCTGATTTTAATAACGTCTGTGTTCCGCTCTACCCTCGAACCTTTTTCGGCGGAAAATTCAATTTCCAGACGGCGCTGCGTCAATTATTTACCCGCTCCGGGCCGCGTTCGGGTCGATAATGCCATCCTAGTGTTTAGAGGCGACCTCGCTGGGGTCGGCTAAGTGGTGCCCCAGTCTCGGTCGCGAGGGGCATGCATTTCAAGAAAACCTGGGAAGGAGTGGCGTGGCGAGCTTTGTGATGTATCGATTGATCTGCCATTTGAACCTATGAAAAAGGATCGATAAACAACAAGTTCGCAACAAACACCTTAATAATCGATTCTTTACTACAGCTTTAAATGGGGAAGAATCGATGATCGATCATTCAAGCCTCGCCACTGCGGGAAAGTTGATACCGGAGTACCTATTGGGGAAGATATACCCAAGTAGTAGCGATCGCGACAAGTTGAAGAACATACCTAAGTTTCACTTACCTTGGGTGCGCGATGGTCTTGAGTTTTGCGCTCATGTTGAGCGCGAGGAAAATCAAAACGCCTTCAACTTTTCGAATAGGCTTTACGGACATCCATTAAGCACGAATAGTTGCATGCACTGTCTTGCTAACGAAACACGCCGTATGAACATCCAAATGTTGCCAAATTTCCCTTTTTAAAACCGTTATTTTTTGGAAATTCATGAATTTTTTTTTATTAAAATTTTCACATACTGTAGAAATCTCTAGAAAATTGATGGAAAAATAACCGCAGGTTTCTTTAGAAATTTGCATCTCATCAATTGAGGTTTGGCGACGTCTAAAGGATCATATTACGTTTTTTCTGCGCATGGCAAAGTAGGCGTTGGTGTCAATGTGGAGATCTCCCATTCGGTGACCGATCGCCCGGTTGGAACCGAATGGAAGCGGGCTGATTATTGAAATTGATAGACAAAGGAGACTTAGAGAGTATGGAGAGATTCTATCGACTGAAATGGGTGGTTCTTATAGACTAAGAGAGAAAATGATAGACTAACTGTAGAGTCTCTCGTGGGTTTCCGTTAGTCAGTCTATTACAATTAGTCTTGTCCATTTTAACCACCTGCTTCCGCACCAATGGGATCCTTCCATATCCCTCTTTGTCTAAAGTTTTGTCTATCCAATTCAATAATCAGCATACAGAGGCGGAATATCCACCCGAGAGCCGGAGTATTTTTGCCGACACTGGCACCGACGCGACGCCGTGTTACGACGGTGATAGTCTCATAATTATTTACTCCGTCACTAATTAACAATTAAAACCTATTCAAAGTTCATAATTCTGAGCCATCCACGATGGAAACTTCGACTTCAAATCAACCCGCCGCCCCCCTCGCCCGCGCTCAACTCTCGCAACTTCGTCGGGCTTATTTATTTAAGTAAGTTCCCGCGGAGCTTCATCGGATGAGCTGCAGAACACCTGTTTATTTATTTGCTTGCTGGAGTTTATACGAGCGGCAACTCATGTAGATCTGTGTTTAAGGGCTTACGTTATTCCTCCATTTACACACGGTTGCCGTTTCCGCAGGAGCCTCCCTCGCCCCTTACCGAGCACCCTCCCAATACTGCCCCAAGCGGCAACAGCGCGTGCGCAATTAAAAGCTCGTGCTTTATCAACTCGGAGACCTGCCTGCGTTCCAAAGTTTAATGATCACCTGTATCGGTGGGCTCTCTCTCGAGCTTTTTCGTATTTCATTTTTGCATGATATAGATTTATTTGGGCAATGTTTTTGGGAGCTCTTGCCAAATTTCATTAGGCAATTTAACGCATTACGAGAGAACGGCACTGCCGATTTTTTTAAAATTTCAGAGTCGTTTTTCTGTTGCATGATGCAAAATTTCTTGAGTTCTCGAACGGATATTTACAACCGCTCTTTTGTGAAAAAGAGAACAAAATAAAGGCAATTTGAAATAATTCGTTCGATGAAATTTTGCAATAGTTAATGTACCTGGTTCCTTTTCGAGAAATATCGCTTACTTAGTAGGTCGCTGATTCTTATCATCGTAGCCCATTATCCCTCATCAATTGTTTCAATGTGAATGTACTGAGGAAAAAAGTGACCTGGTTTGAGAAGATATTCTCGAATTTCCACCGCCAAGAACATTTCCTCCTAACTGAGAAATGCATGTTTGTCATGCGAATGTGCCCTATTGTATCTTCAGCAGTCCATATCAACCTATAATAAAAATTGTGTCAAAAATTGATTTCATGCATTAGTTTCACAGTATCGGAATGCGCACTGACACCGTAAATACTGAAAACATATTTGAACTCTGAGTTATTTTCTGTGTATACGTTGGAACCATCCAATATTGGTGTATTGAAATTTACGAGACTGGCGTAACTATTCACTGAAAATTGATGTTCTGCGCCAGTGGTACGAGCAGTTTTGACCCAGTTGATCAAGTTGATGCTGGACACTGGAAATTTCGTGTTGTACACCAACTAAATTGGTGTTGTGTACCGACAAAATTTGTGATGGACACCAACTGGATTGGTACATTCCACCAGCTACACCAGTTGACAGTATGGTTGTAGTTGGCGGACAGCACCAATTGCTCGATGTTAAGAATCCGTTATGCAGTATGAATCAGGGTCAGCTAGTCGGATTACATTATTCATTTTACTTCCTCTCTCTGCACCAAATCACTGCGGGAGACTAACTAAATGTTCTTTTGGATTTTAAGGTAGAGATAAATAAACTTCGTTAGGCAGAAAAGAACTAAGCCAAAATTTAATGGGGCGGTTTAATTTTTGACATGAAAACCGTTGTGCGGACTGGTGTGCTAATTTTGGTGAATTTTCTGCGTAGTGCGAGGAATATTCCTTCAATTTTTAAAGGAATCCGCACAAACGTTATCTTTTAAAAAATTAAACTTCTCAATTAAATTCGGCAATAGCTGACGTGGCTTGGCTCTTCTCCGCTAAACGTGGTCCAAATCAGGTAGTGTTCGAAAATAAGTCAGGTTACATGCTTCGCACGCCTCCAAAACTTTATTTTTTCCAATATAAATTCCATAGATATTCTACCATTGGTCATAGATTTACTACTGTGATTTTGAGCGGTCCCGTCGCTCGCTCTGACGTGACATTACCATCCTGCAACCTCTTTCAACGTCATCCATCTCTGATTGTTTCCTTTGACAGCACAGCTAAATGCACAAACAGTTGAGAATCCGAAAAACTTCTTTATGCACATAGCATCGGTAGCCTCCAGGCAGTTTTTCCTGTCCTTCAATTCAAATCCTTTTAAATAATTATCCTTCGCCGTGGCGCATACTTTGTTTGCTTCTTCCATGAATCCCGGTCGCAGACGCTTGAAGAATCCCGGGCACGGGTCGCTTCTTACGGCGTCAAAAAATGCTTGTCGCTCCGCAGTTAATTGTATCGGCGGATTGACAATTGGTTGGGGCTGAAGAAACAGGAAGAAAAAGAAAGAATACAGAATAACTGAATGGTGTGCCATAAATCTATGAATTAACACTCTATATAATTCGATGATTAAAAATCAATCAACATCACTCTTTGAAGATTTGTTAGAGTTTGCTATGCACAGCGGAGAGAAATCACGGAAGTTCTCAAGAATTGACGTTAAGTATCTGTGCATTTAAAAATACGGCATGACACACTGGAAAAAAAACCCATTGGATCTAGAGTCCAGACTCTTAAAAACATTGACAAGAAAAAATACTCTTGATTCAATCGGAAATCAAAACGAATCAAAACGAAATCCGCTTAAATTAAGAGGCTAGGTTCTTGATTTCAGCTAGATTCTGATTGAATCAAGAATACTTTTTCTTGTCGATGTTTTTAAGAGTCTGGACTCAAGATCCAATGTGTTTTTTTTTTCCAGTGATCAATAGAGTTCTGGTGGATACTACTTTGCCTCTGGTTATTCTCAGTGTATAGTATCACTGTGTAAAAAGTCAAGTAGACTTGTGTTAGATGTCACCATACTTTTTTTCCAGCGCTGCGTAAAAATTATCGTCAACTTAATGCGGAGGAAATACGTACGATCTCGGCCATCGGCGCCATGGCATCAGCCTCTTGCAAGATTCCGATCGACGAAAGTCCGGCTGCCACTAGAAAGAGATTTACTGCTTTGAACTTCGCAAACATAATGTAAAGCGATGTAATTTTCGGGCACTACCTTACAGAGGCAAGACTTAATTCAGGAATGCGAATAATTGTGCTCCAGCTGGTAATGCCAAGCCACTGTACAATGGTGACGAGGAGGTATTCGGAGTGTGGGCTGTGGCATAGTCGTAGAATAAGTAAATACTTGTTTTGCCATTAGTCACGGATTTGTCTCTTTTTTTTCCGAATTCGAGTTTATTTTTTTGAGGGAAGCGTGTGCTGCAGGTGAGACCTTGGCTCTCGCGTACAATCTCCTAAAATGAGCGTCAAACAGTCATGCCGAGGAATGATGCGGGAAACCATTTGGACGTTGCCGAATTTTTGATGATAAAATAGAAATTTTCCATCAAATTCGTGAATGTCATTTTTTCCCAATTTTCGAAGAATATTGCTTGGAGTCCAATCTCATGTTACCGGAAACATCGTGGAAATATGTTCATATTCATAGAAAAAAAAGGAGGTGTTTGCATTTCGGGCATCTTGGAATTTTTTTGATGACGTAGGGATCCGTACGGCGATTTTTATCATCGATTATCTTGGAAATGGTGTAGTTTATGGAAAAAATGCATACTACTTAAAGTGTTTGAAATTATATCATGAGTTGATTTAAGCAAAATAATCTAACGTTATGGTCCGTTTTTCATATTTCGAATTCTGGATTTTGCTGACCAGGTTTTATCGACCTACGTCACAGGGTACACAATCCTCAAGATGCGAACACCTCCTTTTTTTCTCTATGAAATTAGCTTTACAAGTTTCTTCGACAAGGACCTCTTCTCGCTAGAAATGGTTCGTAACCCGCCCGCCGGGAGCGCCGCGGCGTTCTGCCAGCTCGAAACGCGCACTGACGCCTACAAACCTTTACGCATTGCGCAATGCTTGAAGTATCCGTGTAGGTTTGTAGGCGCCAATGCGCCTTTCGGGCTGGCAGTACGCCGCGCCGCGCAGCAGCGCGCAGCGTGCCATAAACTTGCCCACATATAGTAGATCAGGGTGTTGAAATCTTGGCAATTTGACATCAAATTCGGAATTAGCGACTCATAAAACATCAGTTCTAAAACATTCTTGATCTTTCAGTCATTATCCGACTTATTTCTTTCTGATGGTGAAGATGCGAACACCCCCTTTTTTTCTCTATGGTTCATATTATTTCTCCAAATTTAATTCTAACTAAGAAGATTTGGCAATCTCCGAATGCTCATGAGCCGTTTTTTCGCAGTGTAGCGACTGGTTTTTAGTGCTTCTCCTTTAATTTGTTTCATAAAAGTCCCTAGCTAACATAAGGACGGTGGAAGTCGGCAATCACGCAACTCGATTTGCAACGTCGCAACTTTATTTCAAAACATCGCGATTTTTCCGTTGATAATTGCAACTTGAGAGCGGCGCACAGTAGATCGAGTCAATTACAGAGGTCGGACATGAAATTTTGACAGAAACTACAAATTGTTATGTTTATTTGGTCACATTTTAAATTTTAAGGGGTGCTTTAAGATGAAAATTTTACGAGAAAACCAATGGGACCACTTTTAGAACCTTAAAGTTTTGTATAAACGGAAACGCTTAAAGTTTCCAAATTTTTTCCGACCTCTCCTATTCTGCCGAGCCGAGGAAGAACGCCGTATGAACATTCGAGAGTTGCCAAACTTCCCTCGATAAATTGTTTATTATTCAGGCAAGTTATGAATATTTTTCCTTCAAATTTTCAGGAACTTTAGGTGAAATTGCGAACAAAACCATATGAAAAATCGGAAGAAATATATTCATATGTTTACCAGCAAATTCGTGTTTTATCAAATGATTTTTGCCACACCTGAAGGTCATGGGCGTAGCCAGGGGGGTCCTGGGGGGCCTGCCCCCCCCAGAAAAACGGGATCCTCCATTCCTCTCCCCCCCCGCTCTCTTCGCCACGAGAGGTGGTCCCATGGCCCCCCCAGAGAAATTTCCTAGCTACGCCCCTGCAGAAGGTTCATACGGCGTTTTTCCTTAGCACGGCAGTATTGACTTGATCCACTGTGCGGCGAGGTGACATGCGCAGACCGCCTCAAAAAGGGACGATGCTGCGAAAGATTTCGGACGACCTGACGCCGCGGGAAAGGGATATGGGAGGCGGGATGCAATTGCGTCGCTTCGGCATGTTCGTTCACGCATTCAGAATTAACTTTAATCTCGGGATTACGGTGGCGCTCCACGCGTGTGCGATCCCGATTGTGTTCCCATGTCCCACCCCCGCGCGCCACGCTACCGCGCTAAGGAAAAACGCCGTATGAGCATTCAAGAGTTGCCAAATTTCCTTTAATGGAAACCGAATCTACCGGAAAAATTATAAATATTTTTTTCCAGAATTTTCAGACAATTTTGTACGCAATTTGATCTAAAATACCTGAAAATTTCAAGGGAAAATATACTTAAATTGCACCAAAAATACATGTTTTATCGAGGGAAATTTGGCAACTCTCGAATGTTCATACGGCGTTTTTGCTTATCACGGCAGAATTGTTTACCGGGGTGTTCTCCCCCTCCCCGTCGTATCGATACACCCGCAAAAAGTTTCGAATGATAAAACTCCCGTTTGATATATTTCGGTCCTGATTGGATTGTTTCCTGGTCACCGGTCACTCACACGAACGAAAATCGGACGAAAAAACAGGTTGAAAAACATAACTTTTGTTCCTGTTTATTCTCCTTTTTCACTCAAGAGATAATTCAGCTTCGGAGAATACTTTGACGGATTTTTAACCAAAATCGGCCTGAATGCATTTCATGTCGATTAATTTAAAAAAGAGCTGTTTACAAATTAATACAATTAAAAGGAACTATGCACCCAATTAGCTATTTTCAACGGAAAAATCGCGATATTTTGAAATTGAGTTGCGATTTTTTACGATTTTTTGGCGATGAAAGCGCTGGAATCATCGACATCTGAGCAAGTATCCTCAATCGTGTTGCAATTTTATCCGTATAAAATTGCGTTTGATAATATCGGAGTTTTATCTTAATTTATCACGATTTTTTTCGATAATATTGCGATAAATCGCCGTCAATAAAATCTCGATTTTATTGCAAATTTATACGATGAAATCGCTATTTGTCGCAATTTTTTATCTTATGATATTGCAATAAATCGACTTCGATAAAATTGCAATGCATTTTCAGATCAAATCGTAACTTATCGCGATCACGGCTACTTGGGCAGCACGGAAAACGTAAGGTAACCTAAACTTGGTAATGACAGTGGTAATGAATTCGCCCTCATGTTTACGGAACCGAGGATCAAAATCTGCTGGTTCCACTGTTTTTGGAAATGAGCATATGCGCAGTAGGTTGAGCCTCTTTAGAAGAACAGGATCGTAACCAGTAAAATCTTTGCTTTGAAGGATTTTTTGTCCCTTTTTTCTTCTTCTTCTTATGGAACAAATAAGCTTTGAAGGATTGAGATTCGGAGTTTCGGTATGGACCTGGATAAAGGCGAGACTGTTTTTGGTGCATCGAAAAAAAAAAAGTGAAGTTGATTTAACATTCTGAATATAAAATAAAAATTGCGCAAGAACTCACAAAATGCTGAGTTACCCGCCACAACAGTTAGTTGTACATCTTTACATTGCTAAAGTAGCTTACAAGTAGCGGTTAATTCACATATTTTAAGTTCTCGCACACTGTTTTACATTCAGAATGTTAAATCAACTTCACTTCTTTTTCGGTGTGGTTTTCCAAGAATTGTCTCGGCTGAAGATCGCAGGTTTTGATACTAAATCTTCATTTGAAAATTCTCATCAGTCGATTATTTCGGTATCTTTTCTGATCTTTTCTGATATGAAGCTCACTGATTGAAAAAAAAAGTATCTAAAACCCCGCTGACAGCTTTCTTAATTAGAGCTTCCCGCCTGCTTTTGAATCTGGAAGCTTTCAGAAAAACTCAACAGGGCCTTTTCGACGAGTCTCCCGTGAAAAAGACAGTTTCTTTTTCCCTGTCTGCGCACTAGCAAACGGGCTCGCAGCACTGATGCACGGTTCTATTTGAAGAATGGAAACGAGTCGCATGAGAAAGCGGTAGAGAGATTGGCGGGAGGGGGGGGAGGGAGGGCTTTTATTGGCCTCTGGAGGCACCTTAGTCCAAACGGCGGAACACAAATGAATGACCTCTACAGGGATAACGATTCCAATTTATGCCACCTCCCTGGCCGAAAGCGTCGGAATGGCCACCAGAAAAAGAGGCGGATTTTCAGAATGGCCTCGTCTAATATTATGACTCTTGGCCTCCACTGGCCGGAAACTATTCTTCTTTTCGGACCTTCACAAATTCCTCGCCTTATCTAATATACATTTTACGCAATTTACCTGTATTCATTTATTTACTTGAAATCATCCAGAGCATACGACTGAATTAAAATGCACCAGGTCACATTGAACTACAATAAGTTTGTACTATACGTTTTATGGCAAAGGAATTATCATTTTTGACTCATCTTCGAAGCTACATATCGACGGTGTAAGTTGGCAATCACGTAACTCGGTTTGCGACGTCGCAGACTTCCTGTCACAATTTATTTTTTAAACGGAAAACTACTAGGCGGCAATTCTTTAAAACTGCCACGATTTTTCTTCTCTTTGCGAAGAAAACTCTAAATGAACTTCAAGGAATGATGTCAATTTGTTCTCCTATAAAAAAATAAACATAGAGGCGAAGATTTTCAGACACCGCAAACGAGTTATGTGATTGCAGACTTACACCGTCGATATGTAACATTGATCTTCCTATTCAAGAAGGTACTCTGATGAATGAGTTGGAAATAGTGGCTCCCAATGGATCACTTAACCTTGTATATGTGTCGCAGGCAAATAGTGAAATCAGGCATTTTGTCAAATGCCTAGGCAGATAGTCAAATTTTGACGGTCTACAAAATTTTGTGTATTTATGGCGAAGAAGATTTTTCACTATTTTTGGAAAAATAACTCATCAAACCTACGAACACTTATTGTCTTTTCCTCTTCAATTGCCTCTCTTATTTTTAAATGTTGAAATTCCGAAAATTCTGTATTTTACGACATGCTGAAAATTTCAAGATCAG